TAAATAAATATTTTAATTTTATTATTTCAATCAGGCATATTAATTGAAATAAGAAAAGTTTAAAAAAAAAAAAAAAGCCTCGCCTTAAAATTGGCTAAAATGTTTTAAATTTTTTGTTCTTTTTAATTTGGTCAAAATAGCTGACTAAATTAGTTTTTTAATTTATGTTGTTGCCCGCCTATCATTTGAATTTTTTGGCTAAAATGGTTTGAATTTTTTCTCACATTTATTTTGATCAGTTTTACTTTCCAAATTAAACTTCAACCTATATAAATGCTACTGCCCAAACTATTTTCCTCACTTCTTGAACTTCGCTTCATTTCTTTCTTCTCTACCTTCAGCACTTATCTTTATCTCTTATTTCTCTAACTCTCAACAATTCTCTTTACATTTCCATTCCTACTTCATGTTTTCATCTTTGGTTTTCTTTTTCTTATTCACTTTCCTTATTTATTTTCTTTAGTACTGTGCTTTCTATTTTTATTCATATTCATATATTTTCCTCCAAAACTAATACTAATTCCTTTCTTTCCAATCTTATTTACTTTCATTTTCTTTAATTATTTACTTATGTAAATTTATTTTTGCTTTTATAATTTTATGTTTTTGGTGTTCTACTAATGATTTAATTTTTCATTTCTAGGTTCATGAATTTGGTAACAATTGAGGTAGCATTTTGGAAGTAAATATGATATGATTTACTATTTATACTCATATTTATATTTTTTTCATATATTTTTAAATAATATTTTTTATAATATATAAATAATAATTAATTTTTTAATATAAAAAATATTTATAGAAATCTCAACGTGGTGGTGGACCATTGGTCTGAACTCTTTCAAAAGAAATTATGAAAGAGGGTAAGAAAGTAAAATCATAAAAATGTACAATACAATTTTGTCTTTTTAATTTTGAATTGGCAAGGGCCAAACCGCCAAAGTCATGTTGATTCCAATTCTTGGTCAAATATGTGATAATGCATTGGACAGTGTGCGCCGAATAGACCTCAGTTGGAATTGTCTGTTTTTGTTTCCTTTTGCTATTTTTAACTACTGTATACTTCGATCCATTTTTCTAACATGCTTAGGACTTTTCTAGGCAAAACTCCTCTTAAGCCTACATACTTATCCAAAATTAACACACAAGTCCCTAAATTAAAATAGAACAATTAACCCTCAAACTCCTCAAACAATGTAAATTAACCCTCAAACGTTTCAAATGATGTAAATCAACCTTCATTATTAATAGATTAATCACATCATTAACAAATTAATCATGTGACCTCACGCTCTTTTTTTCCTACACTTAGTTTTATTTTTTCAAGTAGATCAGAGGATCCTTCAACTAATAAAAATCTTGCCAAAATGGCTCAAGTGACATTTTTTTATTTAGTGTTCTCAAGGCACATACATTATTTTGGTGAGGATTTAACCACCTAAGGGATCTTTTGATCCACATCAATATTAACACAAAAAAGTGGAACTAAGTAAAAGAAAAGAATAGAATAGATGGCATGAGATCACATGTGTTGGGCTATATATTAATAATTAAGGTTGATTTGCATCTTTCAAAGGGTTTGAGAGTTAATTTGCATTATTTGAAAGGTTTGAGGGCTTATTTGCACTGTGTTTAGTTTAGGAGTTCACTTGTTAATTTGGGACAAGTCTAGGTGTTTAAGAGGGGGTTTGCT